AATTAATAAAATAAATTTTTTATAGAACATAGACATTTCTAATTCAGAATTATTTATCAATAATTACGTTGAAATATATTTAGCAAAAAAAATTTCTTATTTCAATAAATTGATGTTTTTCTTCTTCTTTTTTTTTTCATTTCAACACGTATATGTCTATGACACACATGAACTTGTTTAAATGGCGCGTAGACAGCCAAAGAAAAAAAAACAAAAAAAAAGAAATGAACAATCTTGATGATCAATAATCAATTCTAAACTTGGTAAATGAAATATAAAAAATATTCAACTATTAAAACAGTATTTGTTTTATTTATTTTACGATACTCACGTCAAATTCTTTCACTCATGATTGAAGAAAAAAAATTGGATGAAAACCAAAACATAAAGCTGTCTGACAAGTGAAAGTCTATCTGATTTATTTAACAGAGAAATATGTAAATATATTATATTATATTAAATATAGGTTTTTTCTTTGATTTGGATTGCAACCACACGAAAATCTAAATTAAATTACAGTTCAAACCATTTATATATTGATAAAAGTTTTTGTGTACTGATACTTTATAAGAACTGAAAGAAGCGAATAGAAGAACAACACTTGTTGTCCACTACAAAAAACACTAATATCTATAGCATTCTAATAACAATTACAGTACCATAAAAAAAACGAACGATTTATAACTATCTTTTAATTTTTACTCCATTCTTTTTTAATAACTATACTGAAAGATATTCGATAGGTTTCTTCAAGAAGAATGGTAATGAAAAATCATTTTTCATCATTTCTACTGAGATTCAAGTTCAATACACCCTTCTAAATCAGAAATGATAAAGCATCTAACGATCAGAAATCAAAGATAAAAGTAGAAAAAAAATTCAATAAAATAATAACATCAATAGTTGACAAGAGCTACAAAATTCTCTAGAAACATTTCTTGACAAAGATGGTTATTTATAGCTACGCCACTAGTTATATTCATTATTTTTCACAATTTAGTTTTATGAGTAATTAGATTTACTGAAAAATATCCATTAGATGTGCCTTAAATTAATCTTTTTTCTTCAATCATGAGTGAAAGAATTTGACGTGAGTATCGTAAAATAAATAAAACAAATACTGTTTTAATAGTTGAATATTTTCTATATTTCATTTACCAAGTTTAGAATTGATTATTGATCATCAAGATTGTTCATTTCTTTTTTTTTGTTTTTTTTTCTTTGGCTGTCTACGCGCCATTTAAACAAGTTCATGTGTGTCATAGACATATACGTGTTGAAATGAAAAAAAAAAGAAGAAGAAAAACATTAATTTATTGAAATAAGAAATTGTTTTTTCCTAAATATATTTCAACGTAATTATTGATAAATAATTCTGAATTAGAAATGTCTATGTTCTATAAAAAATTTATTTTATTAATTCTTTTCAAATCTATTTCGATTTTAGAATTTTTTTCGATAAATAATGATCAAAACACCTTGGAGACAGCTAGGTTTTTTTTATGAATAAATTTTCATGTGTTAAGCAAAAGATAATTGTTTCTCTTAGTTTTTTTATCGAACCATAATTTACGTTATTTATAATATAATAAAATGTATTGTCGTTTATTTTCATACATATCAGAGTTGTCTATTTCTCGTTACACTATCTCGATGTTTCTTGTGCGCGCCAAATATCGCTCGCCCTCGTGCGTAGTGTGCACGCGAAGAACAATGGACAAAAAAAAAAGAGTAGCCGTGCAGAAACAAATTAGAAGAAAGTCATTTCAATTTGCATGATTTCTATTGAACATTGATTATATTCCAACCTCGATTATTAATATTTTACATTAAAGATTATTTGAAACGATTAATCTATTCATTGGTACAAGTACGAAGTGAGAAAATTTTCATTTTCAATATCCTATATTGTATTACGATTAGCAAGAATATGAAGAAAACAGTAAAAATTGTTGTTGATGTATCCATGTATCCATCTGTCGAATTATTAAGTGAACCTCGAGTAATTGATCATATCTCGAAACAAGTATATGATATTCTAGAGAAAAAAAGACAAAAGGCACGTGATAGTGCAATAATCAAAGCTTGTAAAAATGCTGTCTCTCTTCTTCTATCGAAGAAAAAAGGAATTCCACCAACAATCTTATCCGTTTATTTGCCAATGAATATTATTGAGTCATCTGATGATACAGTTGTACCTAGTGTTTCATCCGATGAAGACATATTGGAAACAGGTGTTGGTGAAGATGATGATAGTATTAATAGCGATCAACTTTCATCATTTAATTCACAAGGTTCACATATTTCTTTTTTTTTATGTAACAATGTAATGACAGTAAATACAACTTTCGAATATCTTTTTGATTATTTTAAACATTCTCTATCAATTAATAATAAACCGATGAATCTTGAAAAGATCCTAACGGATGTATGTAGTTATGCTTTTCTTGAACTTAATTGTTCTGTGAACATTCGCATGTTAAAAAATGAAATAAGCCGTCAAATCAGTCAGATAGTGCAATCAGCACGTATACGTGCTGCCGGTAAAAGTGTTATCGGAGTTCTACGTACAAAAAATATTTTCTCATTTATTTTCAAATCTATCAATTCTCTGAATCGACTTGAACCATCGATGGGATTTATAAGATATAAAAATGATGATTATTTAAGTCCAAGTCTTTTTATTCGAGAAAATAATGATGAAACTGCTATTTTTCAATTTTATCCATTTCCAAATATAGTTGAGATAACCATTAACGAGACATTAGTGAGAAAGGCATTATCTTCGTTTGATATAGTACGAGCATTAGATATTAATGAAATTTCTAGTCTTGTTTCACAATGTGTTGCAACATATGATTTAAAATTAAATTTACCAATTTTTGAAGAAATTCTTAAAACAAAAATATTGCTTGAACGTAGTACGTTAAATTCTAGTTATTTTTTAACTATGTCTGTAAAACTTGCAGAAAAAGAAGATCAAATTGATAAAGTTAATGAACAAAGTCAAATAGATGATTCTCATTCCTTCTGTGAAGAAGAAATAGATGCTATTATTGGTCGAACATACAGCACCCGGGGTGTTAAACGCTCGTATGAAGAAGATCCTATTTGTGTTGAACCCACTAAAAACATACAGAGAAGAAATAAAATAATAAAAGATCAAAGAGATTTATTGCATCTAAAGGATACCTATCATCTAACGGATAGTGCTTTTAATGCTATTTTTAAGTATATTCAAAATAAAAGAAAACTCTGTTCATTAAAATAAATCGAACGATTAAGAAGAAATACAAACTCCAAATTTCCTATTGCATACACTAAGACAAGTGCCTATGTTAAATTTGAATATGCAGTAAGAACTGCTATTTTCGTTGCTCAAAAATATGAGCTAAAGCTCAATCAGGTTGAGAAACTTAATATTCGCTTTAATATGGACGGTACACTCATCGGAAATAAGCACATAGTCGCCATATCCATAAATTGCATTGAAGGTGGTCGTCAATGCCAAACGTCGACACATCTTGTTCCTTTAGCTCTTTTTGAAGTACAAAAGGAGAACACTGAATTATTACGCAAAACTCTGCCTGTAGAATTTATTGCTGATATAAAATCAGTAAAACATATTTCTGTAGGAGAAAAAAATATAGAAATTCATATTCGATTAGGAGGGGATTTGATGAATGCCGTGTACGTGTTTGGACTTAGGGGCTTCAGTTCTAATTATCCCTGCGTCTTTTGCACGCAACATAAAGATGACTTACACATAATTGCAGAGACTGCTTATGATAAAATAACTACTGAGGGAAAGGGTAAAAACAAGAAAACAATTAAAGTTCATATTGGTTCCACTTCTTATCATGATTTCACAAAACGAGCACGATCCCTTACCGAGCAAGAACTTTGTTTAGCTAAAAAGAATAATGATTTAGGATATAAATGCGAACCTCTTTTTGGTGATCTTTTTGATTATCAGGATTATTGCGTGGACACGCTACACATGAAGTTACGAATCTTTGATGTTATTTTAAAAGACATATTGTCTTATGCTTCTCGGACTGGTAAATACGGAGGCGAGCATTCAACAATTATTGGAAAAAAAATTGAAATTCTTAATCAGCATTGTAAGAGAACTATCGGAAATCGTTTTTTCTTTCAAGTAGAAATAGATGATAAAAATAAAATTATTGCTTCACATGGAAAGCTTTCCGGTCATCTTCAAGATCTGTTTTTTGTTGATAGCTTTCCTTACAAAGAAATTCTAGGTGATGAAATTGCAAAATCTGCTCGAAGTGTTGTGAATAAGTTTAAAGAACTTCTTAATGAAGTTAAGCATAATTCTGTAAAACGAAAGGGTCATCTAAAACGTCTATGTCTAGAATTTGTAAAAGAATTTCGTCAAAGTGGTCTTCGTACAACTGTTACTCCGTATATCCATATAATTGGAAATCATTTATTCGAATTCGATGAATTCAATGACCTTGGAGATTACAATATGCAAGGAGT